CAACTTTTGAACTGGATTTGGGGCCAGGATAGGTTTCAAGTCTTGATAAATTTAAAAATCTAGATTTGATTTGAACATTGAATTGATTGAAGTCTAGATTGGTTTATGATTTGAATTGATCAGGGATCTGGAATGATTTGAATCTAGATTATTCCTGGAGTTTGGAGGGATTCTAAGATCTAGAATCTAGAAGGGTTCTAGGATCTGGATAGATCTTAGAGTTTTGAATCTAGAAGGATCTTAGGGTTTAGGGTCTGGAAGAATCCTAGGATCTAGAGTAGATCCTAAGGTCTGGATCTAGGAGAATCCTAGATTTTAGGTTGATTTTGAAGAATCCTAGGGTATAGAGTAGATCCTAGGGTCTGGATTGATTTAGGGTCTGGAAGGGTCTTAGTGACCTCATACAAAAATGAGGTCAACATGTATCTTAATGTATTATTTTATGATTTTAAGGTTTTGTTTTTCTTATAGAAAGAAAAATAACTCGATAAGAGTGAATTTAGCTATTTCTGGAAGCTCATTTTGAAAAAATTTAATAACCTAATTCTTTCCTTCATTCTATGAAATTAATTGGAAGCATGAAGAAGCATATCACATGTTAAGAGAAAAAATTGCTTCTTATGTTTATTTTCAAATATGTCAAATGTGTTGCATATGCAACAATACTTTTTTGTTATCGAAACTTAATCATGGACATAATAATAAGCAAGTTGCTTTTCTTAGCATAATTTATATCTTATTTGATCTATGGCTATGAATGTTCTTTGATTTTTGTTGATGCAAGAATATTTGCATTGCACAAGAAGATGCTAGATATAAGGCCACGTGATGTAAAATTTCAAATCTACGACTTGTTGCTACATAGAAAATTGAGGTATGCATTCCTTCTCCAATGCAATATGGAAATAACAAATTAGCTGATTTGGCCATCGTGTTGGGGAACCGCCTCAGGATGGTTGGACCACCTCCTGCTGGGACCTAGTGATGCAAGGTGTGTCGTTTGATGGTGTTGTTGATGTTAGAGTTTTGATTTTATACAAAAATTTCACTATAAACGATTTTAAAAAAAGTAACTATTGAAGGTTAACTTAAAGTTTAACTTTTTCATGTCTAACTTCAAATTGTTGCTCAGTTTATAAAACATTTTTTATCAAGTAGTTTGAGAACTATTTGCATGTATTTCTTAGAATTATGAAAATTTTTAAGGTAAGAATGTGATATCATTATGTAAATTTTATTAGTTTTTAATAATATTTTTATTTATTACATCATTAAGTTTGACCCTAATTGAATTGATCAAATCATGAACCTCTCCTTCTTCTAGTTCATTGTTTGGTCCGATTTTCAAAACCTTGGATATAAGTGATTTGAAATTAGAATAATATTAATTAATTATTTAGTTAATTAATTTTAATTAATGTATTTATTTTAAAGATTTAATACTTATATGTCTTGAAAAATTTTGGCGGTAAAGAGATAAAGAACTTAATGTCTTAACTTTGAATGAAGATCCATCACACATACAAATAAAGAGAGTGGGGGCGCAAGAGTCATAAGAAACATCATGATTTTTATGTGAAAAATCATGAAAAGAGGAGAAATCATAGAGCTTGGCCTAGTTAAAATGATTTCACTGGTGTTTGTATTTGATTACAAATGGTGCCCTTCCTTGGGGAGAAGGCAAATTCATCATATCAAGCACACTACATAGTTGGGTTGGAAGAATCCAATGATAATGGAGCCATTCTCAAGAGAATGTTGGCATGTTCATTTGATTGACAAGGCTGTATTTAGGCAATGGACATCAGAGGGACCGTAGTCGGCTGGCGATAGTTGTTAGAGGGTCCGTAGTTGGCTGGTGATGATGGTTGGAGGTACCATAGTTGGTGGGAGATGGAGGGACCGTAGTTGTGGATGACGGTGGTCGGAGGGACCATAGTCGACAAGCAACAAAGGTTGGAGGGATCGTAGTAGACGGGCGATAGTGATCGGAGGAATCATAGTCGGTGAGTGACGGAGGTCTGAAGGACTATAATCGGCAAGTGATAGAGGTCATAGGGAACTTAACTAGTGGGCGACGGTGGTCACATGAATTATAATCAGCTTGCAAAGGAGGTCGGAGGGACCGTAGTTGGCGAAAGATTGTTATCAGAGGGTCATAGTCGACGAGTGATGGAGGGACCAAAGTCAGCGACCAACGGAGGTCAGAGGGATTGTAGTCAGCGGGCGATGGAAATTAGAGAGATCGTAGAAGGCGGGCGACGGTGGTAAAAAAACTAATGCATGATCCCTTGTGGGTCACTTCTAAAATGTAATTAATATTTCAAACCCTGTTCACTTCATAGTAATTACTAACTAGTTATGATTAGCCCCATCTACAGATAGGGTGCTTCCATCTTTCTCTCACGCATACCTTGTATGTGATGTATCCCTCTCAGGTTTCTCCTCTTTAGACCGATTAAGTGACTATATGATCCGTACATGTTGATTAGCCTGATATCAATCGATTGAGCCCATCTTTCCTTGGATAAGGAGAGCTTAGATATCATATTATGTGCCAAACCATGATAAGAATAATACAAATATCCTTAATCGAGAGTATTCTCAGGTCAAAGCCTAAGATATAATTAATCATGGGTGCTTGTAACAGTAAAAAATAGACACCCACATCAAATAAACACCACTCGAGTTAATGCATCGAATGCGAGGAATCACATGATTATAGGGTTGTATATATTATTATCCATAGATATGCGTAGGTGAAAGCCACATTTTTATGGATAATCATATGTATAACTCTTGCTCTCCCACTAGCTTGCTTGGCTATAGTGTAAAGGCCTATGTCCGTTTTGTCCTATGGGATAATGTAATAGTACCCTTTGCATTCTCACTTCTGCTAGTAGCATCCTTTTGGAGACCCACCTAGAAAAGTAATGGAGAAAGGACTATTGGTCATGTATTCAGTTATGTTTACAGAACTTTATAAGTTATAGTTTTTTTTCTAGAAAATTTAGTTATGCTTTTAAATAGAGTGAAGAGCTTTTTAATTAAATAATGTTTGTAAGAATAGATCAGCGTTCAAAGGAATCAAATACACCATTAAACAATTCATTGCATAGCAGAATTTTTTACTTTAAGGAGTTTGTTGGCTCCTTTTCTGAGCAAATTATTCTGTGTGGAGGCCGAATGTCTTCCAGAGACAAACCAGAATGCGCCACATCACCCCCGCTCGGTACCGTGCTCGGTACTGCTCGATATTGTGCTCGGTACCGTGCTCGGTACTGTTGATGTGGCGCATTCTGGTTGGTTTCCGGACTGTAAACTGCGTTCGACATCCACACAGAATAATTTCTCCCTTTTCTGAGGTATAAACATTATTATCTTTTTATTTTTTTTAATAGTTTTTTGCTCGGCGTGAGGAGACGGTTGATAAGATACGCAAGCATGGGAAGGATTTTTATAAAATCTAAATGAAGTTTATTTTTGAATTAAAAAAGTTTCTTAAATAATTTAATTAAAAATATATTAAAAATATATATTAATGTAGCAAGTCCCTGGTTTAACTGAGCTACAACAATAGCTGACTGAGTTGGCACTCACTATGCTGAGTCAGCGCAAGTCGTTGGTTAAACGAAAGACTTTGCCTACTTTTAAATTTTAATTTTATGATACTTACATAATTCTATTTTTAATCAAACCTATTTTAAAACTTTACCCTATTAGAGATGTTGTGTTGTCTTCATCGATGTACGACAATACTGATGGTATAGGCCATTCTATTATTAAGAAGAGGTTTTTTCTACTGCAAAAATGTAGGATTGTGGAACCTTATGCGAGGGGTAAGATTATGCTTTTAGATGAGAAGCTATTAAGTGCCAAATAACATAAAATAAATTATGTTCAGCTCACAATGTAGGTTAGTTTACACTTTTTATTTATTTACCTAATCATAATGCTTGAATTATGTGTGGTGCCTCTTGAATGACAAGCTCTTGAATTTATCTAATCTATATAACTTGTGCTTATGATTTATTTACTCTTCTAAAAGCATATCTTGTAATGTACACATTATTTATGCCTACACTTGTTCACTATTTTTCTATGTTTTAGGATTGATGGTTTAAGAAATCATTTTTATGTATTTATTATTTGGATTTTAAATTAATAGATTTCAAAAGAAGATTCTAATGTGCTCATTATACATCCAATTTGGCTCCTCTCTTGGTATGCCCATACCCAACAACTCAGATAAAGTATAAAGAAATCATAAATGCTGAATACGAATAGAAAATATAAAAGGCAAATGCTATCTTTTATTTTTATTTAAGAAAAAAAAAATGGTCTATTTTTTGTATTTTTATTAAATTATTTTTCTATTTTAATACAAAATTTATGAGAATATTTTATTTTATTTTATTCAAAACCGATATACGATATCATATGAAGTCAATTCAATTTTAATGTAGCTTAGATTAATCATATAGATATTTTTTTAATTATGAGTTACCAAAGTTCTAGGAATATGGAGATGTTGGTTGTGTAACATTGCATTATTGATATATTTACTTTATGAATTCTCAATAAAGTTTTACTCCCAAAATAACCTTTCATTTAAAATAAATTTTCTTAATTTATGTGAGTCACATTAATACAAGTAACTCTATTTTTTTTATTTACATATCATATGAACAGCCACAAAAGCATATAACTTTATGAAATATCAATATTTTCCTAATTTTATGGGGGAGAGTGCAACATCATAGTCATGCACAAGTGTCTAGTTGAACAATCTTTCTTCAGTATTTAGTTAGCTTAGCAGTTGTAGGATCCAAAAACTCAAGAAACTTAAGAGGGCAATAATTGCTCGAAAAATTTTGAAGCTATATAATAGATAAAGCAACCACTCATAGAAGTCAAACACATACTTTCTATGAGTAGCCTCCCCTTAATTTAACTCAACTTAGACTTAATAAAGAAAGTCAAGCCAAGAAATATATCAACTAGATCATCAAATCATTAAAATTCTTCCTTAAAATTTTGTAGTCCTCTAAATCCTTGTTCAAGGAAAACTTGAAAGTGAAACTTCTATCTCCAAGAGGAAAGGTCTTGTTACTCTTTATATCACCTCCCCTCTTGTTATGATAACCGGGGTAATCTTCCTTCTGAAACTCCACCATCTCCTTTAGAATCAATCCTCTCTTATTTGCTGAACTTCTAATCCTCCACTGAGTGTAAGGTTCATCATCCCTATGACTTACATGTATCTCGCCATTTTTACTCAATAAGCATCTTGCACTGCTAAAGAAATCACGCAATAACTCCCTGTGTCTCCTGCATTTCAAATTATTAATTGAAGCAAATAATCAAAACAAATGGAAAAAAAAAGTATATCATAAATTTACATAACATACAAAATGAGCTCTTCATCTCTTTCGTGCAGCCCAATTTCATGCCCTGAATGAGGAAAATTGAAGATGATTCGATCGAATCGCTTGGCTTTCAAGAAGTCATCTTCATGCATGTCTTTCACGTTAATTTCATGTAATAATGTGCACCCTAGTCTTTTAAGCTCATCAAGGTGAATCCTAGCACTCCAATGCTTCTCCAGCAATTTACCTGATGGAAAGGCACATCAAACTTATATCCTAAAAAGTACTGAATTTAATACATTCAAATCCACAGCACTTATGTCCTAAACGCCCTAAACGTACACAACTAAACAGATTTATTTGTGTTAGAGATATGTTTTCTATCTGAATCTCAGACGCCCAATGACCTACAGGCCTAAATGCAACTAAATAATCTTTGTTTGAATCATTATGAAAGAAGATAATTTTTTTCCTAAAACAATTTCTTAAGAAGTTATCTGCTCTTGTAAAGGAAATAATTTGAAATGTCTACATAGCTATCAGCGCTGACGGGCATCTCACCTAAATTATCGTAGGAAGTTGCGATCATATTCTTGGCAGAACCGAATGTCTTGGCTAGGCAGGCCGAGAAGGAGAAGTCTCCTTCGCCTACAAGAAGTATCCTGTGAGAGCTTGAGTAATGCATTATCCATATCTCCTTTTGCCCCTCGCAGGACGCTTCTCCCATTCGGTGATGAAAAGCTCTCTGTTTTTCTTTTCTCTAATCTTCCATTTCAGGTCTGGACTGAGAGCTTCACGTATATCTTTTTGGGGGGACCTTCGCGTATATGCCATGCTTATGTTGATTCCAAAGAGGCGCAATATTAGAGGCTTTTTGCTGCTCTCGAGGAGTTAATGGAGTAAAGTAGAGAGGTTGGTAATTAATGATTGTATTAATGGTTCTACTGCCTTATGGAACCAGCGGAAGGGATTGACAGTTGGAGTTCTGAGCGTTTCGCCTCCTTTTTAGTTTTCGAAAGAAGGGATCCTTGGAACGAATTCGTGATGGAGATGCAGTCCGTGTTTCATCATGATGAGGATTGCAGGCTAGCTGTTTCACAAAATGTTCTGGTGAATTTTCGGCTGCTTTATTAGGCTGGGCTAAAGTGGAGTGCTAGAAAATTTAATTGGGTAAAATGTGTGTTTTATATCTTAGTATTATTTAAAAAAATTAGCATGTAAAGATAAAAAGAGTAAGATTAAAAATGTTTAATGTAAAAAATTTAGAAAGAGAAAAAGTAATGGAGCATGATTCAGTTGATAGAGTCACTATGTAATAAGTGAACAAGAATCATCATTTATTCACTTTGAAGAAGATAGGGATTAAACATACAACTTATTTTCCCTGATAGAGATTACAAAAATTAAAGTATACAGCGAGAAATAATCTACACAATAACAAGGTTTGATTTCTCCAATAGAGATTATGGAGGATAAGTGTCAACAGGCGAATAGCTATACTCAATGGCAGAGTTAAATCTTGTCAGTATTTCGAACATAGTAGAGATCTTTGATGTTGATCCTCTATGTCGAAAGTGGTTGTTGGTAGAAATAACTGGTGGTAGTCATCGACCGTGATGCTGAAAAATACAAGAGAGCTCTCTCTCCTGTCTCTTATTCCCTCCTCTCTCATGTGAAGAATTAGGTTTTATTTATAAAGTTTTTTTGCTTGAGAATTTTGATATTTTAAACAAGAATTCAAAATATTATATCGTACAATCGATATTGATTCACTTGATGATCATAAATCATTTATTCAACATTTAAGTGCCCTAACGAAGCCAAAATTTAGTGATCTTGGGCTCATTGGAACCATCTCGTTGGGCCGCTTGAGTAGAGATAATTTATTTATGAATAGATTTCATATTTTTGTTTAATCAATTCTATATTTTATATACTTATCTCAAATCAAACATCTGTTATCGAATTTTAAAAACTTGTGTTGAATTGACATTAAGTTTTCTAACACTTTTAACATGTTATTAAGCAAAAATTATACTTAAAGAATATAGTTAAAAAGGAACAAAAAAGAAAAATTAATTTCAAATTTTAGTGAAAATACAAATTAATTCTCTGTTTTTACTTAAGACATGAAACTAATTTGTATTTTTCAGTGAATACATTGCTTTTTCCAACTAACCATTAATTTTTCAATAATTTCTCAATCTTAATTTTGCATTGAGAATGGGAAATTATTATTTAAAAAAATTGAGTGTAGATTTTATTTGGTCACATTAGAGATGTGGGATTATAAGAGTTTTTTGCAATGCAAGTAGGATTTAACTGATTTGATAAAACTAATAAATTCAAATTTATTAAATTTTCTCATGTAAGATTTTGAAAATTATTTGTAAAATTTTGAAACTTATTTTATAAAATAAGTTTATCGATTGACAAAATCTATACATTTACTTCTTATGAGGGTGACAAAATTTGCACATTTTCTGCTTATATGCGTGAGGTAAAAGCTTATACATAGATGGGAAGCTATTAAGTGTCAAATCACATAAAACTAATTATATTCTGCTCATCATGTAGATCAGTTTGCATTTCTTACTTATTTACTCAATCATAATGCTTAAATTATGTTTGGTGCATCTTGAACGACAATCTCGATCTTGACTTTATGTAGAATAATACATACTAGTTGTGCTTTTAAGTTCCGTAGCTTCAAACATTATACAAGCTTAGATCGTTATTTTTTGTTCAAAAATTTGTGTTTGTACTTAATTATTTTATTAACATGATTGTGCAGATTAATTAGAGATTAATTCTCAAGTAAATAACCGCTTATCATATAATCTACATCATTGGTCACTTCTATTATTCTATTTTTTTGCCTTGCATTATTAATTTAGAAGTTTATTATACCAATACTGTTTTGTAGCATTATATATGCATTGTGCTTAAGGTTTATTTACTCTTATAAATTACTTATGCCTTCGCTTGTACACTGTTGTTCATTGTGTCATTTTTTAGTGTTTTAAGTATTCATTTTCATGTTTTTTTTTTTTTTTGATATAATATGTAAGGAGATTCAAAAGTGCTAATTGCACATCTAATTTGACTCCTCTCTTGCTATGTCCATACCAAACATAACTCATATATAGTATAGGAAAGTCATATATATACCTTTTATTAATTGGAGAAAACAAAAATGGTCCACTTTTTAGATTTTATTATTCTATCTTTCTATTCTAATACAAAATTTATCAAAATATTTTAGTCTTTTCAACGATTTAACTTGGATTAAGTATAGAGATATTTTTTAATTGTGAGTTATCAAACTTCTACGACAGAGAAGATTATAATTGCATTGCATTATATTTTTAAAATAGTTGTATGTTTACATTATGAATTCTCAATTTATAATGTTATACAACCCAAACAATCTTACATTCAAAATAGATTTTGAAGTATTGCATATTTACTTTATGAATCTCAATATATAGAGTTAAACTCCTCAAATAATCAATTTTATTAATATGTTAGTCACATTAATACATGTACTTCTTATGCTTATATATCATATGAATAGCCACAAAAGCATAACACTCTATTAAATAGAGTACAACATCATATAGAAATAGAGTGCAACATCATATAGTCATGAGCAAGTGAATCACTTTTCTTTAGTATTTAGTACACTAGGCAACTATAGGGGGCAAAAACATAAGGAGGAAACATAATTGCTTGAGAAATTAAATTTGAAGCAATAACAAAGAAAGTCAAACCAAGAAATATAGCAACTAAGATTTAATTTGGGATAGCTTTTTTACTATTTTTATAGCTATTTTTTTAGTAAAAAAGATTTACCTTTTTTTTTACTAAAAATTACTTTAAGCATTAACTGAAAAGTCATCCCAAATAAAACCTAAGTCACAAAATCATAAAAATCATTAAATTTCGTTGTCCTCTAAATCCATGTTTTGTTCAAGTAAAACTTAGAAGTGAAACACTCATCACCAAGAGAAAATGTTTCGTTGCTCCTGATATCGCCTCCTCTCTTATTTTCATAACCAGGATAATCTTCCTTATGAAACTTCACCATTTCCTTCAGGAGTAGACCTCTCTGCTTTGCTGAACCTCTAATCTCCCAATTATCATAAGGATGATCATCCCTATGAGTGAAATGTATCTCACCATTTTCACTTAGCAAGCGTCTTGCCCTACTAAAGAAATTACAAACTAACTTCTTGTGCATCCTAAAACAGTAATCAGCATCGAAGTTCCATATTATTTTAAGGTAAGGCATATAGTAGACATCAACAATTAATTAACGGATAGATATACACTGATGTACTTACAAAATGAGCTCTTCGTTGTTCTCACCGAACCCTAAATAATGTCCTGCATGAGGAAAATTGAAGATGATTCGGTCGAACCGCTTGACTTTCAAGAAGCTATCTTCATGAATGTATTTCACATTAATTCCATGTAACAATGTGCACCCTAGTCTTTTAAGCTCATCAAGGTGAATCCTAGCAGTCGAATGCTTCTCCAACAATTTCTCTGATATGGACAAACACATCAGACATTTTCAGTGAGGGCTTATTTGATTGATTGGGGATGAAAATTATGTCTTAAAAGTACTGATTTTGTTTCATTCAAGTTGAGAAGACTGAAAAAATAAAAATCCTCAATGTTAGGGATATTGAAATTGTAAATTAATATTGATTTTTAACTGATGATTAGTTAAAATGAAGTAATCAACTAAACTATTTATTTTACATTATATAAACCCAAACACAAAAATAAATTGTCTCAACCAACCAAACAGAACTTAAAACGTCCTATTAAAATCTTGAGAACCATTATAATTAGTTTATACCCAACAAAAAAACTTATTTTGTCTCAGTGCTATGTTTTCTATCTGAATCCCAGACGCCCACTGACCTACAGGCCTGCAACTAAATAATATTTGCTTGAATCATTATGAAAGAAGATAAGTTATCAGCTCTTTTAAAGGAAAAAATTTGAAATTTCTACATATATAGCTGTCTATTTCCACCATAAGCTAATCGTGATCCAGCGCTGACGGGAATCTCACCTAAATTACCGTAGGAAGTCGCGATCATATTATTTGCCGAACCGAATGCCTTGGCTAGGCAGGCCGAGAAGGAGAAGTCTCCTTCTCCTACAAGAAGTATTCTGTGAGAGCTTGAGTAATGCTTTATCCAAATCTCCCTCTTCCCCTCGCCGGATTCCGATGAAACCGCCGCCGCCGCCGCTTCTTCCATTATGTGAAGAAAAGTTTACTGTTTTTCTTTTTTTCTAAACTCGCATTTCAGGTCTGGTGTGGTTTCGTGTATATACCATACGTATGCTGCTTCCAAAGAGACGCACTAGAGGCTTTCCAGATCTCGAGGGCTTAATGAAGTAAAGCTGAGAGAAGGTAATTAATGATCGTTTTAATGGTAATCCTTTGTAAACTCCCTTATGGAAGCAGCGGAAGGGTTGGCAGTTGTTTTTCGAAAGAAGGGATCTTTGCAACGGATTTGGGATGGATGTGCAGTCCGTGTTTGATAAGCAACGCAGGCCAGCTATTTGACGAAATGCTCAGGTGAGTTTCAGCCTGCTTTATCAGGTTGAATTTGACATATTGATTAATTACTTTATGAATCGTTAATCAACATTCCGGAATCAGGAGTACGGAGAACAATGACGATTTTCTGATAGGAACTTTTATCAATTTTTTTTTTTGGGAATACTTTTATCAAATTTAAAATTGATCTTATTTTTCTTAAGTTATTGAGTATGTGTTAATATTATATTATGAATTATATTTTTATTTTATATTAAGACATTAAAGTAATTTTTATTTTCGTTGAATACAATGAGTTTTCTAACAAATCATTAATTCTTCAATAATTTCTCAATATTAATTTTTCCTTGAGAATGAGAAATTATTAATTGAAAAATAATTTGATGTGTATTATGGTTTACACATTCCTCTGAGTTGAGCCTCAAGTTTTGGATTTTCTCATTTTGTACTCCCCTTTTGTATTTTCTTTTTCAGTAACTTTTTAATCTTCTTGCACATGTAATTATTTCTTGATTAATAAAAATGGGCTTTGCCCTTAATTTTTCCCTTCAAATAAATGATAATTTGAGTGCATCAGCCTACCCGTAGATAACAATGGTAGATAAGATGTGAAAGCAATGATGTTCTTGCAATCGACATCAGGTGTCTTGAAGATACAAGCAGTGGTTGCCACTAAAATTAAAAGATATGCAAGCAGATATAACAAGCTTGTTAGCCAGCATGAATGGATAAATTAATGTTGAATGCAACTCAACCATGTTGCCCAGTATCAAGATACAAATAAGTAGGTTCACCTGACTACAAGCGACGCCGATTAATATGTATCGACTTGAAAACCAATATGACCCGCTGTAGAAGATCTATATTGTGCACAACATACCACCTACGATGTAAATAGAGAGAAGCGGTAACAAATACCAGCTATTTACAAGCCAACACGCCAACACAAAATTGTGACGAACACAAGCTTTTACAAACTGTCGTAGAAGACCCGTCAAATATTTCAAAATACCGCCACAAATACATCACGTGTATACACTTATAATATTCAAAAATACCTCCTAAATAATCGTATGGACCCCAACAAATGTGTCATGGGCACACATGTGACATCTGAAAATGTTGCACGGGTCAAATGATAAATTTATGTTTGAGCCCGATCCTTCTATGCGAGTATATAGAAGTTGAAACTGCTAAAATTATCAAACGAATATATGATTGCAACATCAACCGAGATACCTATTTTAATATATTCATGTTAGGCCTTTAAGGCCTATAAATAATAAAAATCTACCAGTACTGACCTAAAGTGGTAACGAACCTGGTCCTCTGTCAGCAATTAAACAAAGTCCACAACGTTCAATAAAAAATTACCAAAAATGCCCCCTATACACCTGTATGGGCCCTGGAGAGCGTGATGTATTCAAACACGTGACGTCTGAGGATGCTGCACAAGTCAATAAATAAACCCGAGTTCGAGCACGTTCCTTCTATGTGGATAGATAGGAGTCAGCATGGCTCGAACTATCAAACAAATGTGTGGTCATGGTGTCAATCAAGATATTTATTTTAATAGGTTCATATTAGGACCTTAAAGCTTATAAAAAAAAATCATTAATAAAGGTACAAAGTTAACGAAAAGCTCGACCCTCTGTCGGTAAGTTTATAGAGTCGACAAAGTTCAATCAACAAAAAAGGTATTTTGTCTCGAAGTCCAACACCTTTAATGGTAATAATAACCCCAGGCAACACTTAACACAATATAAGGCCACCTGCAGGAATACAAGAGGCAACGATGCCTTATGTAGTTGTGTAGTTATTTGATTATCATAGTTGTGTAGTTTAGATGTTAATTCTCAAGTAATTACCCACTTACCTTATCATATAATCTACATGAGTAATCACTTCTATATTATTGTATTTATTGGCTTGCATTATCAATTTTCAAGTCTATTTTATCAAAATTGTTGAGAAACATTATATGCATTGTACTTATGATTTATTTACTATTTATATTAGCATTCCTCATCTTTTATAAATTACTTATGCCTTCACTTATACACTATTGTTCTTTCTGTTATGTTCAATTGCTTAAGTAATCATTTTCATGTATTAATTTTTTTGATTTTCAATTAATAGATTTTGTAAAGAGCTTCAAAAGTGCTAATTACTCATCTAATGGCTCCTCTCTTGGTATGCCCATACCAAACATAAATCATATATAGTATAAGAATATCATAAATTTTGCATAAGATTAAAATGGCAATAATAAATATGGAAGGTAAATGCTACCTTTTATTAATAGGAGAAAACAAAAAGACAATTTTTATTTTATTATTCTATCTTTTTCTTCTAATAAAATATTTATCAAAATATTTAGTGTTTTCTTCTAAAATGATATCATATGAAGTCAATTAAATTTCAATGATGTAACTTGGATTAAAAGTAGAGGTATTTTTTTTTTATTTTATCAAACTTTTACGATAAAGAAGAATTTAATTGTATGGCATTAAATGTTTTAAATAGTGCATATTTACTTTATGAATTCTCAATGAATAATATTTTACAACCCCCAAAAAAAAGCTTACATTTAAAAAATAAATTTTGAACTATTTCATATTTACTTTATGAATTCTCAAAATATAATGTTATACTCAAATAATTTTATATATGAAATAAATTATATTAATTTATGTGGGTCACATTTTACTTGTAATTCTTTCCTTATATTTATATATCATATGAATAGTCAAAAAAGCATAACAGATAACACTAATAAATATCAAATTTTTTTTTTTTAATTTTAATGAGAGAGTGCAATATCATAGTCATGACACAAAGTGTTAGAACAAGTACTTACTCGAATCACTTTTCTTTAATATTTAGTCCACTTCACAGCAATAGGGGCCAAAAAACTCAATAAAGTTAGGAGGACATATAATTGCTTGAGAAACTAATTTTGAATCTATCATAAAAAAAGTAGTGAAACCAAGAAATATAGCAACTAAATCACTAAATCATGAAAAATTTTCCTTAAAATTCAGTTGTCCTCTAAATGCTTGCTCAAGGAAAACTTGAAAGTGAAACTCATATTTCCAAGAGGAAAGGTCAAGTTGCTCATTATATCACCTCCTCTCTTGTTCTCATAACCAGGATAATCTTCCTTCTGAAACTCCACCATTTCCTTGAGGATCAGACCTCTCTCCTTTGCTGAATCTCTAATGCCCCACTTATAAAAAGGATGGCCATCCTTATGACTAACATGTATTTCACCATTTTCACTTAACAAGCATCTTGCACTGCTAAAGAAATCACAAAGTAACTTCTGGTGCATCCTAAAAAATAATCAACATCGAGTTTCCATATTATTTTAAGGTAAGGCGATGAGTAGACATCAACATAAGTTAAATGACAGTAATGTACTTACAAAATGAGCTCGTCATCATGTTCATGGAGCCCTACATAATGTCCTGCATGAGGAAAATTAAAGATGATTCGGTCGAACCGTTGTGCTTTCAAAAAGCTATCTTCGTGCATGTCTTTCACATCAATTCCATGTAATAATGTGCATCCTAGAATTTTAAGCTCATCAAGGTACATACTAGCACTCGAATACTTCTCCAGCAATTTATCTGGTATGGAAAGGCACATCAAACATTTTTAGTGAGGGTTGATTTGGTTGATTGTGGATGATAATTATGTCTTAAAAAGTACTGATTCTGTTTCATTCAAGTTGACAAGACTGAAAAAATAAAATTCATCAATGTTAGGGATTTTGAAATTGTAAATTAATATTTATTTTTAACTATTGATTAGTTAAAACGAAGTAATCTACTAAACTAATTATTTTACATTACATAAACCCAAAAACAAAAAGAAATTGTCTCACCCAACCAAACCGTACTTAAATATTTTATTAAAATATTGAGAACCATTATAATTAGTTTATAACCAAGGAAAAGAATTATTTTATGTGAGTGCTGTGTTTTCTATCTCAGTCAAAACGTAACTAAAGCGCAAGTCAAAAGCGTAGTCAAAAGCATAGGTGCCGTGGCAAATTTTTATTGGATGCCCGAATTTATTTTCCACTTCTAGTGACCGGATGCAATAATTTGCCCATTTATAAATATCCACTGACCTACGAGAGCTTATTATGTGCAGAATCCGGATGTAATTGTTTATTTGGGCTCCGATATAAATATTTAAATTTTCTCTCTTATATTCATCGTATTTTTAAAAAAGAGAAAATAATCCGAACTCCGCACGTAGGGTTTTTTCCTGACCTACATGTCTGCAACTAAATAATTTTTGTTTGATTCATTATGAAAAAAAATATAACTTTCCTAAAACAATTCCTTAAGAAGTATTTGCTCTTGCTCTTCTAAAGTAAAGTTTTTGAAATGTCTAAATAGCTATTTCCACCTTAAGCTAATCGTGATCCAGCAGTGACGGGCATCTCACCAAAATTATCGTAGGAAGTCGCGATCATATTATTGGCAGAACCGAATGCCTTCGCTAGGCAGGCCGAGAAGGAGAAGTTTCCTTCGCCTACAAGAAGTATTCTGTGAGAGCTTGAATAATGCTTTATCCATATCTCCTTCTTCTCCTCGCCGGATTCCAACGAAACTGCCCCCTCAGCCGCTTCTCCCATTGGGTGAAGAAATTTTCTGTTTTTCTTCTCTAATCTCACATTTCAGGTCTGGTGTGTCTTCGTGTATATACAATACTTACACTGCTTCCAAAGAGACGCATTAGAGGCTTTCCAGGTCTCGAGGAGTTAATGGAGTAAAGTAGAGAGAAGGTAATAATGCTTGTATTAATGGTTATCCTTTTGAAATTTCCTTATGTAAGCGGCGGAAGGCGTTGACAGTTGGAGTTCTGAGCTTTTGGCAATCCTTTTGGTTTTCGAAAGAAGGGATCTTAGGAACGGATTTGAGATGGATGTGCAGTCTGTGTTTGATCATGATGAGCAATGCATGCCAACTATTTGACGAAATGCTCAGCTGAGTTTCTGCCTGCTTTATCAGGCTGAAGTTTAGATATTGCTTAATTACTTTATGGATCGTTAATCCACATTCCGGAACATGAGTACGGATGACAGTGACAATATTCTAATAGGAACTTTTATCAAATTTTAAATTAATCTTATTTTTCTTAAGTTATTGAGTATGTGTTAATACTATTACATTATGAATTATAATTTTATTTTATTTTAAAAGTGAGATTAAAGCTTCATTTAGGATACTTTTTTTATTGCATTTAAAATAATTATTTAGCATAAAAATTTTTTTGTACTAAATAGCTGATTTAGATAGTATTAATAAAGTTGCCCCAAATGAAGCCTAATTCACACTTACATCTTTTTTTTGGCTTTTAGCCCAATTAAGCCAAACTTTTTTTTTTTAGAAAAATTAAGGCAAACTCTCACACAACATCGTAAGCTTTAAATTCAAGACCACTTAGTTGTTGGTCCAAACTATCAACCAATGAACCAAGATGAGCTACATATCTAAATTTCAAAATTCGCTTCTCACATAAGTTCCTTAGATTCTCTAGATTGATCATTTCTATAGTAAAAAAAATTTTAGGGGCATTTGTGCACATATCACTTAAAATTTCCTTAACTAAATTAAAAAGAAGCACTTTTAACATGTAATTAAACAAAAAATATAATTAAAATACAATTTAAAACAAAAAAAATGTAAAATTAATTTTCATTTTTAGTGAATATAAAAATCTGTTATGTGTTTTTACTAGAGACAAAAATAATTTGTATTTTCATTGAATACAATGAGTTTTCTAACAAATCATTACTTTGCAAATATTCACCACAGGTCTATAAGGTACCCCTGAACGAAATAACTCATTGTTGCATATAAGGATCCTTATCTCAGGTTGGGACGACTACCTCTTTTGACTAAGTAGACCAAAGACGATGGTGGTCCGGAATGACGAAACCATAGGATATTGGTCAGACTCACTATCCCTCCCCTCACCATTACTTTAATTGCAAGGTGATAAATTTTTAATTTTAAATATTAAATATTTAAATAGAAAATCATACTGCAACTATATGCCCGATACAAAATACTATGTATTTGTTTAACAACTAGCCTTAATCGAAAAAAAAAGTAAATTAAAAAAAAAAAAACTAGCCTTAATCGAAAGTTCTCTCTTGCTGTCGATAAGAGTAATTAACTATAGAGGCTTGCACAAATAGAAAATTTGAACTCAGATCATAAAGTTCTCGCAAAATGAGGGTGAAATCTCTATGTAGTGTCTTATTTAAAACTTAATCTGCCTAGACAACCTGAAGAAAAAGAAAAGGGATCCAAGAAGATGCTAGGTTGCAAATTTTTGAAGCCCACAACACTCTAGCCCCTGCGAATCATACTGTAGTTATTTGATTATCATAGTTGTGTAGTTTAGATGTTAATTCTCAAGTAATTACCCACTTGCCTTATTATATAATCTACATGAGTAATCACTTCTATATTATTGTATTTATTGGCTTGCATTATCAATTTTCAAGTCTATTTTACCAAAATTGTTGAGTAACATTATATGCATTGTACTTATGATTTATTTACTATTTATATTAGCATTGCTCATCTTTTATAAATTACTTATGCCTTCACTTATACACTATTGTTCTTTGTGTTATGTTCGATTGTTTAAGTAATCATTTTCATGTATTTATTTTTTTTTATTTTGAATTAATAGATTTTGTAAAGAGCTTCAAAAGTGCTAATTACTCATCCAATGGCTCCTCTCTTGGTATGCCCATACCAAACATAAATCATATATAGTATAAGAAAATCTTAAATTTTGCATAGGATTAAAATGGCAATAATAAATATGGAAGGCAAATGCTACCTTTTATTAATAGGAGAAAACAAAAAGTCCTTTTTTATTTTATTATTCTATCTTTTTCTTCTAATAAAATATTTATCAAAATATTTAGTGTTTTCTTCTAAAATTATATCATATGAAGTCAATTAAATTTCAATGATGTAACTTGGATTAAAAGTAGAGATATATTTTTTTTTATTTTATCTAACTTCTACGATAAAGAAGAATTTGATTGTATGGCATTAAATATTTTAAATAGTGCATATTTACTTTATGAATTCTCAATGAATAATATGCTACAACCAAAAAAAAAAAAAGCTTACATTTAAAAAATAAATTTTGAACTACTTCATATTTCCTTTATGAATTCTCAAAATATAATGTTATACTCAAATAATCTTATATATGAAAGAAATTATCTTAATTTATGTGGGTCACATTATACTTGTAATTCTTTCCTTATATTTATATATCATATGAATAGTCAGAAAAGCATAACAGATAACACTATTAAATATCATTTTTTTTTATTTTAATGAGAGAGTGCAACATCATAGTCCTGACACAAAGTGTAAGAACAAATACTTACTCGAATCACTTTTCTTTAATATTTAGTTCACTTCACAGCAATAGGGGCCAAAAACACAATGAAGTTAGGAGGACATATAATTGCTTGAGAAACTAATTTTGAAGCTATCATAAAAAAAGTAGTCAAACCAAGAAATATAGCAACTAAATCATTAAATCATGAAAATCCTTCCTTAAAATTTAGTTGTCCTCTAAATCCTTACTCAAGGAAAACTTGAAAGTGAAACTCATATTTCCAAGAGTAAAGGTCTCGTTGCTCATTATATCACCTCCTCTCTTGTTTTCATAACCAGGATAATCTTCCTTCTGAAACTTCACCATGTCCTTGAGGAACATACCTCTCTCTTTTGCTAAACTTGTAATGTCCCACTTATAATAAGGATAATCATTCCTATGACTAACATGTATTTCACCATTTTCATTTAGCAAGCATCTTGCACTGCTAAAGAAATCACTAAGTAACTTCTGGTGCATCCTAAATAAATATCAACATCGAAGTTCCATATTATTTTAAGGTAAAGCAATTAGTAGACATCAGCATAAGTTAACTGACAGTGATGTACTTACAAAATGACCTCATCATATATTTCACGGAGCCCTGAATAATGTCCTGCATGAGGAAAATTAAAGATGATTCGGTCGAACCGTTGTGCTTTCAAGAAGCTATCTTCATGCATGTCTTTCACATTAATTCCATGTAATAATGTGCATCCTAGGCCTTTAAGGTCATCAAGGTGACTCCTAGCAGTCAAATGCTTCTCCAGCAATTTATCTGATATGGAAAGGCGCATCAGATATTTTTTGTGAAGGCTGAATTGGTTGATTGTGGATGAAAATTATGTCTTAAAAAGTACTGATTTTGTTTCATTCAAGTTCACAGGACTGAAAAATAAATATCCTCAATTTTAGCGATTTTAAAATTGTAAATTAATATTGATTTATAAATATTCATAAGTTAAAATGAAGGAATCTACCAAACTAATTATTTTACATTATAAACCAAACACAGAAATTGTCTGGACTAACCAAACAGTACTTAAATATCTTATTAAAATATTGAGAACCGTTGTTATTAGTTTCTACCCAAACAAAAAAATTATTTTATGTCAGTGCTGCGTTTTCTATCTCAATCATATAGACGCCCACTGAGCTATGAGAGGTTATTGTGCGGAGTTTGGATATAACTTTTTATCTCACCTAAATTATCGTAGGAAGTCGCGATCATATTCTTGGCGGAACCGAATGCCTTCGCAAGGCAGGCCGAGAAGGAGAAGTCTCCTTCGCCTACAAGAAGTATTCTGTGAGAGCTTGAGTAATGCTTTATCCATATCTCCCTCTTCCCCTCACCGGATTCCGATGAAACCGCCGCCGCAGCTTCTCCCATTCGGTGAAGAAAAGTTCACTGTTTTTCTTTTCTCTAATCTCACATTTCAGGTCTGGCGTGTCTTCGTGTATATATCATACTTACACTGCTTCCAAAGGGACGCATAAGAGGCTTTCCAGATCTCGAGGGGTTAACGTAATAAAGTAGACAGAAGGTAATTAATGATTGTATTAATGGTTCTTTGGAAATTCCCTTATGGAAGCGGCGGAAGGGGTTGACAGTTGGAGTTCTGAGCTTTTGGCTTCCTTTTGATTTTCGAAAGAAGGGATCTTAGGAACGGATTTGAGATGATTGTGTAGCCCGTATTTGATCATGAAGAGCAATGCAGGCCAGCTATTTGACGAATTGCTCAGGTGAGTTTCTGCCTGCTTAATCAGCCTGAAGTTGAGATATTGCTTAATTACTTTATGGATCGTTAATCAACATTCCGGAATCATGAGTACGGAAGACAATGACGATTTTGTGAGAGGAACTTTTATCAAATTTAAATTAATCTTATTTTCTTAAGTTATTGAGTATGTGTTAATACTATTATATAATGAATTATATTTTTATTTTATTTTAAAAGTGAGATTAAAGCTTCGTTTGGGATAATTTTTTTATTACATGTTAAAGCAACTTTTTAGCATAAAAATTGTTTGAATTAAAAATTTGTGTACTAAAAAAGTTATTTAAAAACAATTAATAAAATTTCCCCAAGGGAAGCCTAATTCACACTTATATCTTTTTTTTAGACTTTTAGCTCATTTAAGGCAAACATTTTTTCTGAGAAAAATTAAAGCAAACTCTCACACAACAAATTCGTAAGCTTAGAACTCAAGACCTCTTGGTTGATGGCTAAAACTCCCAACCAACGGACCAAAATAAGCTACATATCTAAATTTCAAAAATCGCTTCTCACATAAGTTCCCTAGATTCTCAAGATTGATCATTTCTATAGTAAAAAATAATTTTAGTGGCATTTGTGCACATATCACTTAAAATTTCTTCAACTAAATTTAAAAAAAGGAGCACTTTTAACATGTAATTAGACAAAAAATATTATTAAATATTGTTTAAAAAAATGTAAAATAGATTTCCATTTTTTTGTGAAAATCTAACATTGTTATGTGTTTTTACTAAAGACATAAAAGTAATTTGTATTTTCATTGAATACAATGAGTTTTCTAACAAACCATTAATTTTTCAATAATTTCTCAATCTTAATTTTGCCTTGAGAATGAGAAATTATTAATAGAAAAATAATTTTAGTTACGCTGCCAAGCGCTCCCTTTGGACTGGCAGCGAGTAAATACCCCAGTTCCAAAAAAAACCATTAGAGATGATGCAGTTTATAAGAGTTTTTTAGGCTGCAATTGTAATTTAACTTATTTAATAAATCCGATAAATCACAATTTATTAACTTTTGTGTGTAAAATTTTAAAAATTATTTGATATAATAAGTGATGACAAAACATAAATTTTTTTTTTTCTAATGAGGTAGACATATTTAATTGAGAAGTAGGCACAACTATATCTGCCTGGGATTATATAATTGCATCAGAAGCCAACACTGACGAGTCTATAGTGGGGGCCTTGGGGGCGCATGCTCCACTAGCCAATGGACTTTAATTTTATTTGGTCCGGTGACCTAACGTAGCTCTACGTTTGGTCACCATGATATAGCACCACGTAGCAGGCACAATACCGCAGACCCGACCCGGCGAATAGTGGGTATGCCGCACATGCGTATTTTAAATCCATGACGACCCGGTATGCTAGGTATTGCTCGGTATTGCTAGGTATTGGTCGATTTTGCTCGGCAATAACGAGAAATACCATTATGTGAAGACCAATACCGAGCATTAGCTACTAATACCGAGCAATATAGAGTTTTTCTAGGTATTGCTCGATACTGGTCTTCATAAAGCGATATTTCTCATTATTACCGAGCAATACCTAGCAATACCGAGCAATAACTAGCAATACCAAGCAATACCGAACAATACCGAGCAATACACGAACATAGCAATCCTGGGTTCCGGTCTAGGTCAAGTCGTCGGGTCGCATGGTAAAGAGTAAGAGCACGTGGCGACATGTTATTGACGTCTGAATGTAGAGCTACGTCAGGTCACCTGACCTAATAATTGTTCCTAGCCAATAAAACCCCACAAGATGCAACAATGCAGGCCCGCAACCCATAACAAATTGTTTTAAAAGTTATATATAGACTGTGGAGCATTGAACCAAGAACTTCCAACTTCACAGCCTAGCATTTTATCCAGCATTCTACACTTAAATAATGATTGAGATTTACTATAATTTACTTAAATTATAATTAAATCCAATTAAAGCTAACTCATTTTTTATTTTGATCTAAAGTTTACATCACTAAAAAGTGAACACAAAAAAGTTTATATGACCAAATCATCTAATGTGACTATCTCTATTGGGTATTGGAAGTAATATCATGCAACAAAACAAATAAGAAAATAAAAATTGCTGGCAAAAGTAAATAATACAAGGATTTAAACATTTTTATTCTAGTGTATCTACCTTATATTTTATGCAATCCTTGTTTATAGTATATAATCTTCATTAGATGGTATTTGCTTTATACACCACCAAAGTTCTAGAAAGTTTGGCTATATTTTAAATTTTGTAAAGAAGAATTCTTGTTTTGATTCACACATTAGACATATTGTGATTGTCTTCATTGATGTATGACAACACTAATTGTATAGGCTATTCTACTATTAAGGAGGGGGCTTTTTCAGTACAAGAATGTAGAATAGTGGAACCTTATGATAGGGATAAGTTTATTCATGGATAAGAAGCTTGTGGGCTCTGAAAATTCGACTCCAGCCTCCCTGCCGATTTTCTTTTTTATTCGGCGAAGGAGTAATTAACGGAATAAGTTCCGAGGTAAATTTTGGAAGGCATATGAGTTTGTAGATAAGACACTACCCAGAGATTTCGCCCTTATTTTGTGAGGATTTTATGATCTGAGTTCTGGTTTCCTATAGGCGCAAGCCCCTATAGTTAATTACACCTCCCAATCATGAGAGAGAACTTTCGATTAAGGCTAGTAGTCGATCAGATACGTAGAGAATATGTGGTATCTGACATATAGTAGCAACATATATTTGGATTTGAAAATTGTGTTTGAATTTGGGTATTTGTAAGGGTTTGGAAAATTTGGAGATTAGAAAATTTGATATTTAAAAAAAAAAAGAAATTGCACCATCTTGCACTTAAAGCATATGGTGGGGGAATGGATGATAGACCCGATTAAGATCCCATGGTTTCGTCATCCCGGGGCATTGTGGTCCCTGGTCTGCTTAGTCAGAGGAGGTAGTCAACCCAACCTGACAGAAGGATCCTTGTCGGCAGCCATGGGTTGCTTCGTCCAAGGGTACCTTATAGACTTAGGGTGAATGTTTGTCTAAGGGGACAAATTTGAATCAACCTTAGCTTACAGAGGGCTTTGTTCCCTATCGATCATATCATATTGATTCATATCTCAAGGATTTGATGCCACTAAAGAGCGTAACGAAGCTGGTCATAACCGGTATTTTGTGGTGCCATTTGGCGGCAAAACAACTCGGTTCAGAGGGCCCGGGTCATAACCGTTTATCCTACGGTGCCATTTGGCGGCAGACCACCGGTCAGAGGACACGTACCACATCCTTATCGGCATGATACTGTTTGAGAATGAATCCTAGTAATATTTTTGACTAGGCATTTGGCTCTTTTGTGAGCTTAGGTAAATTTTAATTTGTCCATCTCGGCAAAATGTTGCAGAGGGCGGATGTATTTTGCTTTAAGTGATTGATGGGTTGAATTTCAAATTTAAATATTTTTTCGAATTTTAGGATTTGTGGATTTTTGGATTTTTGATATTTTGTAGGTATTTTCAATTTTGATAGGCATTTGAATATTTGGGAGACATTTAAAAATGTTTGTGAACCCCTCCGGTTGAGATAAATATTCAACACGGCCATCATCGGGGTGTTAGGGGTCATTTCTTTTTTGTTAATTAAATATTGTCAACTCTATCAAATTATCGATAGAGGATCGGAATTCATAGGCTTTATATCATTGATAGTGAATTCTCATTATTATAGGCCTTGAAGGCCTAATATGAATGTATTAAGACAAATATGACGGCCGCCACAATCGTATATTTGTTTGTTGGTTCGAACCCTGTCGACTTCTATTGAACCATATAGAAGAATCGGTTTCGAACTTAAATTCACTTGTCAACTAGCGCAGCATCCCTAGACGTCACGTGTGTAACAATAACACGCTCGTCGGGGCCCATGCGGGTGTTTGGGGGCATTTTGTATTTATACCCTGTCTACTCCTTTTACGTGCCTAGGAGGATCGGGTTCAAATTTAATAACCCTCGCAGCATCCCTAGATGTCACGTGTGTACTAATAATATGCTCGTCGGGGCCCATGCGGGTTCTTGATTGCTTTTACGCCTTTTGTTGTACACATGTGTATACAAACTACGGTGCATGTGCAGGAGTATTTTGAAAATATTTAGAAATATGTTCTGTCCGCTTGCATTGATGTTGCGGATTCGGTGGCGTGGCATAGCAACTTTTGAATAGATATATTCGCTGCTTCGTACAGGTGGATTGTCGTGCACTACTAGGTTCTTTCTGCAGGTGGATCGTAGTGCACTAACAAGTCTCCTGCTTTTGTTTGTACGGAGAGTTGCATTTGTTATAGACATGGTCCCTTTATTCGTGGTCAGCTCTCTTTACATATAAGTCTTCTAGAACCGATCGTAGGCTTTTACATTTGCTACTGTTCCTCAACATTTTTTTTTTGTATGTAGCATTTATTGTTGATGATATATAGGTCTTTGACAGCATCATTGAAGCCTTCTACTTGTGGGGAGAGAACTGTATTTGCTTGCATGATTGATTGTGGGCGAGTTTGAGAGAATTCAATGTATTCGTGGCATATTCCTAATAACCATCATGAGTCATCCCTTCCACTTGTAGTTT